GAATGAATAATCGGAAGGAGCGCTGGACTTGGAGACGAGAACCTGGGTTTGACCACCACCTCCCCTCGTGACCAGTTTCTTCATCTCTAAAATGGGGAGGGTGCGGGGCTCTGTGACCTCTAAGGTTTTTCCAGCTCTAAGTCCAAGCTCTCATGGTCTCATTTTGTGTTTGAAGCAAGCCAGTGACATGCCAACACAGGGGCATGCTTGTCCCACTTTACAGAGAGAGAAACTCAGGCTCAGTGGGGTTAGAGGACTTGCCCAGGGTCGTACAGGCAGTAGATGTCAGAGGGAAGATTGGAGCCCAATCGGGCATCCTGTCCATTCTACCAAATGGCCTTTCTGATTGTGGTCAGCTGTGCCACGACCTGCCAGGCATTCATAGAAGAGGCTCAAGAAAAGGCCATTGGCCTCAGGGCCGAGCCAGTCCTTGGGGGTGAGCAGCTTTAGTCTGGTGATGGAACCACTGGGCTTGAGGAGAGAATGGCGGGCAGGTAGAGGCAGCAGGCATAGAGGGGTAACAGAGACTTCGGGACATGAGATGAGTGAATGAGAGTCAGAGGGGGAGACCATGACCAGGAGATTAATCAGGGAAGGCTTCCTGGAGAAGACAGCATGTGATTTGGGTCCTAAAGGATGAAGAGGAATCCAAGCTGGAGGCGGAGGGGCAGGGGGGTTGTGAGCCAGGCAGGGACAGCATGCATCCATTGGACAGGGACGGACCCGCGGGGCCACAGACTGAGATGTAAGAAGGGGTGAAGAGAGGAGGCCGGAGCCATCTCTGGACACCTGTTGTGGGCAGCCTCGAAGGCTGGGCAGGAGCTGGGAGTTTCCCGGCAGGCCGTAAATCTGGGAGCAGGACAGAGTCCTGAGCAGCTGTGTAGAAGAATGCCCTGTGCTAAGCACTTAGCAAATGTTAAACTCCTGTGTAAATGTCACCGTTATCATCCCTGCCATCAGAGACTTTTGTCTCATTCATCCCGGGCTTCCTCGAGTGGCCGGGTTCTAGACCCTGAACTCAGCACGTGTGTGGCAAATGTACCCCACGCTGCCACTGAGAGCTGTGTGACTTTGGGGAGGACCCTTCCTCTCCCTGGGCCTCAGTTTACCCATCTGTAAATTGAGAGGTTAGACCACATGATCTCTAAATGTTCTTTAGGCTCTAAAACCGTGAACTAATGAATGGGGGAGATGGATGGGGGGATGGACGGACAGATGGATGGATGGATGGATGGATGGATGGACAGAAAAACTCTAATGATCAATTCAGTTCAATACAAATAACTTCATGCATTCAGTGGACTGCCTCAGAAGGTAACGAGTTCCCTGTTGCTTTGGGTTTTCAAATGATATTGTGAACACATTGGACTAGGTGTCCTAAAGGTCTTGTCCAGATCTGGAATTCTGGCTGGGAAAGCAATAAAACTGAAGAGCCTCATGGGGCCATCATTGGGAAAGTGTTGCCTTTAGCACCAGAGGACAAGGTGACCTGGCCAGGTCCTTCCCCTTCTCTGAGCCTCAGTTTCCTTTTCTGTAAAATGGAGAGAGTTGGGTTCTAGTCTAGATCTCAGATATTCTTTTGAAAGGGCTGGCCTCCCTCTCCTGGCTGGGGCTCAGGCAGCCGGACTGACCTGCAGTTGGGGAGGGGCTGAGGCCTCTGCCTTATACAACCCCCTGCTTGCATACTTCTAAGAATGGGGAGCTCATTACCTTTCCAGTCCAGACAGGTTTTTATATTCACAGAATCAGAATCCTGGAGCCAGTAGTGACCTCAGATCCCCAAATGATCCCTCTAGATTCTAGAGTCTAGAACATCCTTGCAAGGGGGTCTCCAGGCTGTTGGAAGCCCTCCACGGAGGGTGAGACCACTCTGGGATGGCTCTGATGTTAGTACGTTGTATTGATGCCATTGTATCCCAGTTTGGGGAGGACCTCTCCACTGCCCCATCACCACTCAGAAGGAAAGTCTCTTCTCTGGCCCTGATATCTCATTATAATGACAAAGCCTTAGTTCTGGGGTTCTTTTCATTGACATTTCGATATTTTACTTTTAAAAGGTCATAATTCTATTAAAATGGAGTCAGTTCAATACCACATATCCTCCCCCCTCCCCTTCCCTAAGGAAGCCAACTTGTAAAGTACTTTGTGTCCCTGCCCTGGAGCTCACTGTCCAGTGGGAGTGATACCCGTGCCCACACAGGGGTAACATGGGGCAGAAATGGACGGAAGGAAGCTTTAGGAGGGGGCTGGAGCCTCACACACTCACCTCACATCTGCTTGCCTCAGTCTCCTCAACTGTAAAGTAGGAAGAGTAACAGCACCTACCTCCCAGGGTTGTCTGAGGATCGAATGAGATTTTGGAAGCACATTTAGCACATTGCCTGGCACATAGTAGGTGCTTCATATCTGTATTCTCATCCCTTCCCCCTTCCCTTCTGGGCCCCCCAGTTTAGTTAGTGAGGGAGATTCTGGAAGACTGCTCAGAGGACGTGGTTCTGGGAAGCATGGGAAGCATTTCCATGGGCAGACTTGAGGTAATCAGTTAATGAACAAACATTTCCTAAGCGCCTTCTCTAGGCGAGGCACCATGCCAGGTCCTGGTTACAGAGAAGGAAACAAGACGGCCCCTGCCCTCTAGGAGATGTACAAGAAGGCAGTTCACAGGTTACGACAGTGGCTCTGTTTGCCCCATGCCTCGCTGTGACCTTGGGCACCATCCTTCTTGTCCTCGCTCACCTCCTTGGTAATGGAAGGCGGGAGCCAAACCTGACCATTCTGTGCTGAAGGCCCCCTGGCACCCACCCCGGCACACACCTGGCTCCTGGGATACAGAGAGGTCAAGCAGGCCCAAGGGGCAGCCCCTTCCCCACGCTCTCTCCACCAGCGGGAGCAGGGTGAAATGCCCTCTCCAACGCCAGCAGGCCCCAGCACAAAGGGCAGGTGAGCCAGGCTCCAATGCTGGCTTAGCTCCTACTTATTGACTGTGACCCCAGGCCAGTGCTTTCTGTTTTCTGGGCCTCAGTTTCCTCCTCTGTAAAATGATGGGGCTGAGGTTCTCTCTTACTTTGGCATTTGGATTAAGATGTGCAAGTCCTTCCCCTGGGCACAAACTGAAGATGAGCTTGGCCAGCCCATGCCCAGCCTTCTGGGGGACCCTTATGGGCTACATGAGGAAACAGCCCAGAGAGCCGCCGGGAAGGGGCCGGTCTGCGGGTCTGTGTCTAGAGCCCAGGGCCCCAGGGATCACACCTTTCCAGGTGCCTGTGATAGGACCTGGCTGAGCCTCTGCTGCTGCTTATCGGGGGGCGCAGGTCTTGGGGAGACCATGGCCCCAAGCGGCCATCAGCAGGCCAAGGAGACCCCGAGGCCCCGCCCAGGGCAGTGAAATTTAGACAAAGGACATCGGTGTCCCTCCATCTGTGCAAAGCTCTCGTGTTTCTTGGCCTGTCTAGACTCCCAGAATTTCATCACAGACCTGGGGCTATTTACCTCTTGAACTAAACTGACCTAAAGCACCCAGGCCTGCCTCCCTCCCTCCCCACCTCCCCTGGCAAGAGCTCTCTGTCTGAGGTCGCAGCCTGGGCCTGTCCGTGAGCCTATGACCCAGGGGGGCCTCTCTCTGCCTTCTTCTCCCCCCCGGACCCTTCTGTCTTCAAGGGCCACCCGAAGGTCCCCTGCTCTTGTCTCTGCCCCAGCTGCTGGCTGCATCTCACCACCGAGCACTTAGGGCCAGGCTGTTCTGGACTCACCGGCTGCACCTGTGGGTATTCCTGCTGTCCCCCCAGACTGGGAGCCCCCTGAGGGCAGGACTCAGGTCGTAAGATCCCCGGATTTGCAGCTGAGAGGACCTAGGAAGCTGAGTCACAGAGAGAGGGCCGAGGCCTGGCCTCAGGGGAAACAAGCCTAATTCTACACCATTGAGTCAGGCACGTTTGTTCTGTTAATCACCTTTTGCTGGGTTTAGCTAAGGCCCAGGCCCTGCCTTCAGGAAGCTCCCAGTTTGGAAAGGGAGGAGATGCAGACACAGAACTCGGGGACACTGAATCTGACATCGTGGTTACAAGAGCCTGGTACCTATGCTCTCCCCTCCCCCCTTCCCTTCTCCAAGGAGGGTGGGATTCCCCTTCCCAGAGACCAAGAGAAAAGGAGGATGGGGCTGAGCCCCCCCATTCTCCTCTTCTCCTCCTCCTGCCCTCCCCCTTCCCTTTCTCCTTTCCTCTCCCTTCTTCACCTTCTCCATCTTCATCTCCATCTCTCGCTCTCAGCCACACCCAGTCTCTGGGTGTAACAGGACTGGCCTTACAAAATTCTCTCTCTCTCTCTGTCTCTCTGTCTGTCTGTCTGTCTCTCTCTCTCTCTCTCTCTCTCTCTCTCTCTCTCTCTCTCTCTCTGTCTCTCTCTGTCTCTCTCTCTCTCTCTCTGTCCCTCTCTGTCTCTCCTTCTCTCCCTCTCTCCTTCTCTCTCTCCTTCTCTCTCTCTCCCCCCCTCTCCTTCTCTCTCTCTCTCTCCCTCTCTCTCTCTCTCTCTCTCTCTCTGTCTCTCTCTCTCTCTCTCCTCCTCTCTCTCTCCTTCTCTCTCTCTCCCTCTCTCTCTGTCTCTGTCTCTCTCTCTCCTTCTCTCTCTCTCCCCCCCTTCCTCTCTCTCTCTGTCTCTCTCTGTCTCTGTCTCTCCTTCTCTCTCTTCCTCTCTCTCTCTCTGTCTTTCTCTGTCTCTGTCTCTCTCCCCCTTCTTCTTCTTCTTCTTCTTCTTCTTCTTCTTCTTCTTCTTCTTCTTCTTCTTCTTCTTCTTCTTCTCTCTCTATCTCTCTCTCTCTCTCTCTCTTCTCTCTCTCTCTCTCTCTCTTCTGTCTTTCTCTGTCTCTGTCTCTGTCTGTCTGTCTGTCTCTCCCTCTCTCTCTCTCTCCTCCCCCCCCCCTCTCTCCCCCCCCCCGTCTCTCTCTCTCTCTCTGTCCCTCCCTCTCTTTCCCTCTCCCCCTTTCTCCTCCTCACTCTCCCTTTCTCTTTCTTCCTTTTCCTCATCTCTCTCTCTCCTCCCTCTCCCTCTCCTGGGCAGCTGGGGGGACTTTTCTCTATTACGGTTTCTGCCTCCGGCTTGTCTACACTTCCGTTTAAAGTCAATCCTTCCATAATGCGGTCCCTGGCTGTTCCTCGGTTGAAGGGCTTATTCTGGCCCCCGGGGGTGGGTGCATTGGGCTCCACTCTCCTGAGATGCCTGGCCCTCGCCAGCCTGAAGGGGAATGTGTGCAGTGTTCTAACCCTTAGGCCCCTGCCGGCCTAATCAGGAGCTCAGCCAGGTCCGAGGCGCCCTCTCAGATCAGGGTCAAGCCTGTGCGGCCCCTCAGACCCACTGCTGACCTGCTACCTAACTTGGGCTCTCAGACTCAGAGCTTGCTCTCATCTGCTTTGGAAACTCCATGTGACAAACCAAGAAAACAACATTTGCTTGTCAGGAGGTAAGAGGGGAGGGTGGGAACGGAGGAGCTAATTATGGCAGACGGAAGGCAGGGCTCCGGGTATGCTGATTTTTGTCATATGGCGCGGTTCCATCTCGTCTTCAGGCCTGGGTTCTGGAGGATGCAGATGAGGTGAGAGCCCCGGCAAGGCACTCTCTCTGGGCCTTAGTCTCTTCATCCGTGTTATGGGGACATAGGTGGCAGCCCCCGCCCTGCGTCACAGGGATGGCTCGAGGAAGGGTGAGATCACACCGGAAAGAGAATGGGGCCCTGGGAAGAAAGACAGTTTGTAAATACAAAGCCGCCTGGTTATTATTCCTGGTTATCATTGTCATTAGCGGCCATGAATAGTAACAAGATCCTAATAGCCCTCCTGGCTCTTCCCCTGCCCTGCCCTGCTGCAGGGCCCAGCGGAAACCTGAGGACAAGGACACACTTGGGCCCAGGCCCATCGACATGCCTTGGGTACGCTCTGAATGGAGAGACAGCCCCTTTTAGGATGGGAACCCCTGTAAGGCTAGAGGCTTTCTGCTTGTTCTCGGTCCCCACCCCCACCCCGACTCTACATAAATGCTTGTGGATTGATTGATCCAATCATGAAGCCTTCTCCTTTCACTGAAGGGGAAAGGGTGGGAGCAGAGGGGCCTGCCCACAGTCTTGCCCAGACCAGACTCCCAGCTCATGCCAAGGAATGAGGAATTCCTCCCAGGGAGGACAGATTTCCAGGACATGTAGGCTGGCCTCCTTCTCCAGGGTTCTCTGCCTCCTCTGACCCAAGAACTCTCCTTACAGAGGACAGTCATCCACCCCTGTACCCCAGGAGAGCTGGGATTAGAGGGAGACAGAGGGCATCCTGCCCCAGGCACCTGGGAGCCATTGCCCCAGACAGGGAGGGAAATCTGGTGGTCCCTGTCACTCTGGGGCCCTGGCCCTCTCTCTCCTCAGCATTCAGGCTGCTGCTGATGGTCAGGGGTCAGGACTTTGGCTTTCTGGGCAGGTGAGACAGAGAGAGAGAGAAAGAGAGAGGGGGAAAGAGACAAGAGAGAAGAGAGAGAGAGAGAGAGAGAGAGAGAGAGAGAGAGAGAGAGAGAGAGAGAGAGAGAGAGACAGGGACAGACAGAGAGAGAGAGGAGAGAGATAGAAAGCAAAAGAGAGAAAGGAGAGGGAGAAAGAGACTGGGAGAGAGACAGAGACAGAGACAAAGAGGAGAGAGAAAGAGAGAGGAGCAGGTCCAAACTACATGGGGGTGTCCTGGGTGCTGGTACCAGGCCCTCAGCCTGCCTCACACCTGCTCCACTTGTAAGCTGGAGGAATTCCTGAGCCCAGCTGACTTTATCCCATCTCTCATTCACTTTTCTCTCCAGACTGTCAACATCTCCCAGCCGGAAGGAGGAGGAACTGGGCCACCTGTGCTCTCCTTGTCCCTAGATGGCTCTGCCTCTAGGGAAAGATTCTCCATCGGTCACTTGTCTCACAGACTCTGGAATTAGGAGATCCGGCCCTGGGGCCAGGCTGGCCAGTTGGTCTCTGTCTCTGCATCTCAGTTTCTCTGCTTGAAAAATGAGAGGGTTGTGTGTCTCTAACCACTGATCCCTTCCAGGTGTCATATCTGGGGAGTGAGTCTGTGGCCCTGTGAGGGGAAAGCCTGGGAAATCCCGGGGCCCAGCCAGCTGCCTCTCTCAGGGCTTCTGAAGGTACTAGGGGCCCAACCCCTGTGCTCTTGGGGGCTCTGCAGGGCCTGGGCCAGTCCCCAGGTCTGGGAGCCACAGGCTGACAAAGGCAGAAGGTATTCAGTTCAGTTCCTGACCTTGGAGAGACACAGGACCTGGAAGAGCAGCTCCCCTTTCTCAGCCTCCATCCATGATGAGGATGAGCTTGAGAGCTTCAAGTCTCTCCTATCTCAGGAGTTGTAGGATTTAGGTCACCAGAGGCCTCAGGGATTGGCTCTGTTTAGTCTGGAGAAGAGAGCATTCAGGGAGCCCAAACAGCATCTCCAAATGCGGCAAGCTTTCCTGGGGTAGGGAGATGACTTCCTTTGAGTGGCCTCAGAAGGCAGAGCTTGGGGGAAGCGGCCAAGAGAGACATCAGTGTGGGACAGAGGAGCCCTCCCCAGGGACCCCCAGGAGGGCTGGACATGGGTCTGGGGACGTGGCAGAGGGGGAAGGGGGCAGAATGGGTCCCAGCTCCTCCATCTCTATGGCAGTGCTGAGTGCAAGGGCTAGCATCCCCATGTGACAGAGGCGGAAACTGAGGCAGAATGAGGGAAACCCCCTCTCCAACTCCTCATTTTTCAGGCAGGGAAACTGAGGCCTAGAGACAGAAACTGACTTATTCAAAGATGCTCCACAATTTTAGGGGCGAGACTTTCCATAATTTACCTGCAGGATAGATGTAGGCCCCTTCCCTGTCACTACATTTAGAGTTCAGTAAGGAGAGCGCAAGGGAGCTGGCCAGAGCTCTCTCAGCCTGGTCTTGTAAGCATTTCCTGAAGGTCAGCTAAAGGCTTGGAAGGATCCTGCCTATGCTGGCCCTTGTCTCCCCAAACCCCATACCTCCCATCTACTGGCTGCCCACCCGGGGACAACAGCCAGAGCCGTGAGCTTATCTGAGGACAAGGATTATTATTATTCATCTTTATAACCCCAGTGCCCAGCACACAGTAGGTGCTTCCTAAATGGTTGCTGAATGAATACTGACTGCTTTTGCCTGTCCTTATTCCCTTTCTGGGGGGCATATGGGGAAATGGAGGCCCACAGCGACAAACTCCCTTCCCGACCTGGGGCTTAGTTTCCCTGTCTGTAAAAGGAGGGCTCTGTGCTGGACGTAGTTGCCCCCAGCCCTGACCTTCTGTTTTAGGACTCATTCACCCAAGGCCGAATTGTCTCCAATCCAAGCCCTGATTCTCCCCATGTCAGGGGCTGAGGAGGGAACGTTGACTCGGAAGCTCACTTCCCTGAAGAGTGTCTGGGAAAGGCCAGGTCTCCAGCCTCACCTCCAGGGGATGGAGGGAGGCTTCAGTGACTCACTCACCTTCTCAAGGGCGTCAACAGGGCTACACGAAACTTGGACAGGTGCCAGCGTCACTGTGACCCAGGGAGAGCTCAGAGCTGTGGGGCGAGGCAGGCCAGCCAGGCCAGGGCGGGCACCTGCGTGTACAGGCCTGTGCAACCCAGCTGGGGCGTTCACCGGCCAACCAGAAACCACGAGCCAAGGGTCCTGACCACCTCCCTGGCCCGGGGCACCAGGAGAGATACTGAGGCTGGCGACATCCCCAGAGGAGGGGGGGGGTCAGCCAGGGCACCCACTGGGCTGGGGGTGGGGCTGGAGACCTAACCTCAGCTTGACTCAGGCCTGGCCTCTGAGGTCCCTTTCATTTCTGGATTCTGTAGCAACAAATGCCTTTCACCAGGGAATAGCACTTTACAGTTTGTTAGAGGTCATGGCTATCTCACCTCCAGTTGGGGAAACTGAGGCTCAGAAAGGGGAAATGAGCATCCTAAGACAAATGACTCCCTTTTCTTGGATCTTCGGATTACAAAGCACCTTCCCCCCAAGCAGCCCTGAGATGTAGGGAGTCCAGGTATTCTTACGTCTGTCCCCCAGGTGAGGTGTTGGTTCAGAGAGGCACCTGGCCCGGGGTCACCCCTCCAGGATGTCTGAAGGCCTTGCTTCCCCTGCCTCTTACTGCCTGGCTAGGGGCAGAGGTAGACAATACCCCGGACCTGGAGCTCGGGCACACAAGGTGTGCCTGGGATGTAAGAGGCTTTGGGGGAAGGGCAGAGAGCGCTCAGGGCACATGCCCAGCTGAGCCGGGCTTTGAGGGGCCTCAGCACCCGGCGAGGGATGAGCAAACACTCACAGCATGGAGCAAGTCAGCAAGGTTGAGGCCCATGTGTCTGGCCAGGCTGGGGCCCACTTAGGGACGGGACAGAGCAGGTGGGGGGGGGCAGACTATGGAGGACCCTGAATTAGCTCCTGTGCAATAGGGAGTCCCTGACGGTCGGAGGTGGGGACGGACGTCCGCGTATGATGCGATCCATCCCGGGCAGCCTCAAGAGGAGCTTTGGGTTGCCTGTCCAGGGTCCATTGGGAAAGGGAAGAGGCCAGAGGCTCAGACCCCAGGGCCTTCCCTCCCCATGGGGGCAGGGCAGGAAAAGTAGCAGCCAGGGAGGGAAAGGCCAGCCTGGCTCGGGCCCAAAGCATGGCCAGCTGGGACCGTGCCCTCAGTCAGCAGTGACGTGGGGGAGACGAGCCTCACCTACGGGGCCAGCCCGTCAGACAGGTTTGTGACGGGCACGGGCAAGGAAGCTGGGCCTGAAACCAAGAGAGTCACAATAAATGGAAGAGATGGCCAAGAGAGACCGGACCCACATGTAGTTCCCTCCCCCTGCCTGGGGCACGGGCATGCTCCCAAGCATGCTTCAGCCCTCGCAGAGCGTCTGTGACAGACATACACAGAGACACGTGCGCAGCTCAAACGCACAGCAAGTTGGTCCAGAGACTGACTCTCTCTCTCTCTCTCTCTCTCTCTCTCTCTCTCTCTCTCTCTCTCTCTCTCTCTCTCTCTCTCTCTGTTTCTCTGTTTCTCTCTCCTCTCCTCTTCTCTCTCTCCTCTCTTTCAATCTCTTTGTCTTTTGCTCTCTGTCTCTGTCTTTGTCTCTGTATCTGTCTCTCTTTTTCTCTCTCCTCCTCTCTCTGTCTCTCACTCTCTGTCTCTGTCTGTCTGTCTCTCTCCTCTCCTTTTCTCTCTGTCTCTCTTTCTCCCTTTCTCTTTCCCTCCTTTCTCTGCCTCTTTTTTTCTCTCTCCTATCTCTCTCTCTCTGTACCTGTCTCTCTTTCTCTCTCTGTCTCTGTCTATCTCTCTTCTCCCTTTCTGTCTTTGTCTCCCATTCCCTATCTCCCTCTATCTCTCCTCCCCCTTTCTCTTGCCCTCCTTTCTCTGCCTCTTTTTTCTTTCTTCTCTCTCTCTCTCTCCCTCTGTCTCTGTATCTGTCTCTCTGTCTCTGTCTCTCTTCTCCCTTTCTGTCTTTGTCTCTCATTCCCTATCTCTCTCTGTCTCTCCTCCCCCTTTCTCTTGCCCTCCTTTCTCTGTCTCTCTTTTTCTCTCTCTTTCTCCTCTCTCTTTTTCTCTCTGTCTCTGTCTCCTCCATACTTTGACTCTCTTCCCACTGACCTGGCCTAGAGTAACCAGTGGCACAGAGAGGTGCCCTGTACCTGGAGTCAGGAAGAGCTGAGTTCTAATTTTGCCTTAGATCTTACAAGCTGCGTGACCTTGGGCAAGTCACCTAGGTCTTTTAGTCTCAGTTTCCCTGTCTGCAAAGTGGGAATGAAAACACCACCCGCCACCCCCCCGCCCAGTGAGAGTCAGCACTTGCCGCCTCCTAAGGCGCTGTAGGAATGCCCACCCTTGTGACTTAGCCCAGCGCTCCAGGCTGTCGGCAGGTGTCGGGATCTTGGCAATGTCCCCATCAACGTTGGCTCTCCCAGCCTGGCGTCATGCACCATGTGTGCCTTCGTCCAGCTCGCTGGGGCCAGGGCCAAGCTCGAAGCCCTAGGGCGCCGCCCTAGAGACCTCACCCCTGACCAGCCCTGCTCTGGCCTGTGGGCTGCATCCCTCCATCGCACCGCCAAGGAAGGCAAGGCGTTCAGCCGATCAGGGATCAATCAGGCCTGGCTCTGGGCCTTCACCTCCTCAGTTGTCCCAATGGGTGCCCACAGTGGGCAGGAGTTCTGGGCTTGGAAGTTGCCAGGCTCTGGGGGCACCCTCCGTCCCGGCAGGTGCATCCCCATGACACACCCCCATGGAACGCTCACTTACAGCTTCTCACTCGGACACACGCACGCACACACCCCTCAATGCCTGACCTCAGCCATCCACTGCTCAAAGATGTGTGTCAATCAACCAGTCAATCCACAAACCAGCATTTTGTAAGCCGACTGTGTGCTGAGCACATGAAGACAAAAAGGGGTGTAAAGACAAAAACAAGACACTCCCTGACCCCGTGGAGCTCCCCCACAATGGGCCAGGCCAGGCAATGGGCATCGTGGCTTTGACAGGTCTTCATCAAATACATGTCATGGAAACACAAGGCAAATCTGGGGGATGCCCTGGCAGCTGACGGGGGTGGGGCAATCAGGAGGAGAGGCTTCAGCTGAGCCTGGACAGAAGCAAAGACTCTGATTGGAAAGACTGAGCTCAAATACATCCTCAGGCTGTGTGACCCTGGACCAGTCACTCACCCTTTCTCAGCCTCAGTTTCCTCATCTGTAACATGGACCTAATAATAGCATCTACCTCCCAGGTTGTTCTGGGGCTCAAATGAGATGATAAGCCATACATTGCCAGCTCAAGTGAGTGAGGTATAAGAGGGAAAGGTGCGCACGTGGGGCCTGGGGACAAAGGCGCAGAGGTGGGAGATGGGATGTGGGGTGTGGAGAACAGTAAGGGGCCAACCTGGCTGGAGGCCGGACAGCAGGACAAGGAGCATAGGGGGCCGATACAGGCCTGGGCGGGGGGCTCGGCTGGGCCGTGTCCGACCCTGACGGCAATCTGGAGCCAGAGTATGACGAGCATACGCTCACACATGGCAAGTCCTCCTGACTGCCTCACACAGACACACACACACACAGACACACACACACACAGACACACACACACACACACACACACACACACACACTCGAACTCATACACACTCATGCACACACACACACTCTCATACACACATATATACACACTTGAACTCATACACACACACACATATACTCTCTCTCTCTCTCTCTCTCACACACACACACACACACACACACACACACACACACACACACACCCCCGACTATCTCAGAATTGCTCACTGCCATGCTCCTACTCCAGGTAGGTTCCACAGGGAGCCTCTGGAAGCCAAGGAGGGCTGTGCCCAGAAGGGGAAGAGCCCTGGGGTCCTGGCAGGGCCAGCTGAGGTCCTCCCTTCCTGTTGGCCTGACTGGCCCAGGAAAAGCCGGCCAGCCAGATGCTGGACCAGACATCGCCTCAAACGCCTGCTCCCTGCACGCAGATCAAAGGCCTCACCTGAGTTGCTGAGTCAGGATCGTGAGGTCTGGGTTCAGGAGAAACCCTATTGGGTCAATGTTTACAAACTGCTGAGGGGGGTGTGTGTTTGTGCCTGAGGACCAGCCCCCTCAGCAGGGAGGCTACCTCCTCACAACACCGTGTTCTTGGCCACAAAGCTAAGCCCCTCCCTCCTCACTCTTCTTCCCCCACCCTACCCCTACTTGGAGGGTCTCCCCAGGCCTAGAATTCTGTGGCATGGGCCATGTAGGACGCTAGGAGGCAGCAGGAGGGGGTGTGACCTTGGGCAAGTCCTTTCCCCTGATCTAGGCTTGTTCTCTTCATCTGTCATTGGAAATATGCCTCTCAATTCAAAATCCTGTGGGACCCCCTCATGTAACCATGTTCCAAGGCCCCTCCCAGCCCTGACATTCCATGTTCTAAGGCCCCTCCCAGCCCTGACATTCCCTGTTCTAAGGCCCCTCCCAGCCCTGACATTCCCTGTTCTAAGGCCCATCCCTCCTCTGACATCCCCTGTTCTGAGGCC